GCAGACACCGGGTGCTTCCCTGCACACACAGCACAGGCCTCAGAATCGGAGCAGCCTTTGGCAACCGCGGGATTTGGGGAAAACTCTCACCTGAAAGATCCTTCATCACCACGTAATGGCCGGATCTCTTCTGGGCCTTCTCTCCCACAGCAACCAGCCCTGGGAACAACACAGTGCACTTCACATCCCTGATTCCCACCTGACTCCTGTGCTCTCAGCAGCAAAGCAAGGACAGGGATCCCTGGGAACACCTGGAGACTCCACACGAGTCTCCAGCCTCCCTTTCATCCAGCATTTTCCCCTCTGGTTTTCCCAAAGGCTCCAGGAAGACTCTGAACAAAAAACTTTGAGCAGTTTTGCACAGGCCAGAACCCCCCTGGTTTTCCATGGAAACCTGGTTTTCCACAGCCCCTCTGGAGGAACAAGAGGGAAACTCAAGAACTCGGTTCTGTGCAGCCCAAGAGTCCCTCAGTCTGCCTCCAACACAGGGATCATGGAAGGATTCCCAGGGAGCAGGAAACGTCCCTGGGTGTCCCCTCCTGCCAGCCATGAGCCCGTGGAGTCGGGGCACACACGGGCTGCCTGTATTCCAATGTGCTGTGCCTGCAGGGTCACAGCCAGGGCACTGTCACCTCCATCCCCCTGGGAAAGAAGGCGGCAGAGGAGCAGGGAGCAGCCCCGAGTGGGTGCAGGGAGCACAGGCTCTCACGGAGCCCCCGGCAAACCCCAAAGCTCCACAGTTCAACTTGGAAACTCTTCCAAGAAATGCCAGTGACCAGCTGTGAGAGAACCCCAAGTCTCTCCCCGTGGATTTTGCCATTTTCAGCCTTCATCCCTTCCACCTTCCTTTGTTTCTTACCTCAATTTTCCTGTTGTGGCTCTGGGCACTGAAGACAGGGAGAAACTGCAATTGCTTCCAGTGTCTTCCTGCCCCTTCAGCTTTTTTTTTGGGTGGCTTTTGGGTTTGTTTTGCTTTACAAGAAAGTCCTTCCCTCCTTACCAGACACTCATCCCAATACTCCTGCAGCGTCCAAGTGGGGAGCTTGCAAGGGGCAGGAACCCATCAGAGACAGAATTTTACATCCCAGATAACCAGAGAACTCTTTCTCCACGTTAAAACTCTCCCTGTCACTCCAAGGCACTGACACTCAACTCCACATCTTGTCTCTGGGGCCTCAACAAGGAACTTCCAAAAGCTGCTGCCTCCTGAGTCGCTCCTTGGCACATCCCTTGGGACTAGGAACTGTATTTTATTTGAGCAGTAAGTTAAAAATGTGTTTAAACCCCTTACAAAACAAACCTGGGTGGGTTATTTATTAACAGACAGATTTGCTTTCAAGAATTCCTGACTTTTCTTTAAAACTCTGCACTGAAATTGAAAAAAAAAAGGACTTTCCAAGCATTTAATCATCCAAGATCAGTAATGTCTGAAGAACTGCTCGTCCTAAATGGATAATCCCTGTCCAGCTGCCTCCCCCTGGTGCAGGACAGCTGCTGCCTCATCTCCCTGTGTCCCAGAGCTGGTGGCTCAACAGCAGACAGGATTCTGCATCCAGGCACAACTTCTGTGGGAATGATCAGACAAGGTTGCCCACATGATCACAAATATTTCAGAGCCAGGAAATCCAAAGCAAAGCTCTTATGGTCATCCCTCTTTTCAGGTGACTGTCACAGGCCAGGAAGAGGAATCCTTGGCAATCACTGTCACCTTTTGGTTTGAATTCCTGGACAAAGAAAGACTGTATAGAAAAAACCATGGGAAGAGTTTGGTCATTCACAGAATCCCAAAATCACTGAGGCTGGAAAAGACCTCCAAGGTCATGGAGTCCAACCTGGTTTTTTTTTCTTCCAAGCTCAGTTTTGAGCGGTGACAAAAGCAAAACCAAGCCCTGAAATCCCAGAGCCCCAGATTGGTTTGGGTGGGAGGGACCTCAAAGCCCATCCAGGGACACCTTCCACCACCTCAGGTTGCTCCCAGCCCTGTCCAACCTGGCCTTGGAATAATTCCAAGTATTCCCATGCCACGGTTTTAGTTGGGACCTATTTCACACACTAAAGGTTCACGAAGAACAGAACAATTCCAGCAGAAATCCTGACTGCTGGAATTTGGCATTCTGGATTGAAAATGGTCAGAGCTTGGCTGGGTGTTTGGGGTGGAAAACTGTCATCCACACCCAAACCACCCTGGCCCAGCTGAAGGAGCAGCACCACTGCCTGGAATCAACTGCATGGTCCTGCTGCATCCAGTGGGTTTTCCACCCGTGGCAGGGACAGGGAGCCCTGGACAACAGGTGAGGTTTATGGAGGTAGGGAAGAGATGGCTCAAGCTGCCTCTGGAACCATCCCTGAGGTTGAGCAGAGGAGCCTCCAGCAGAGCAGAGCAGAGGTGGAACAGCAGGGACACGATGGACGGAAAAGGAGCCAAATCCATGCGGAAGCCCTGAGTGTGTGACAACCCTGAGTGTGACAGCCCTGAGTGTGACATCCCTGAGTGTGACATCCCTGAGTGTGACAGCCCTGAGTGTGACAGCCCGAGTGTGACAGCCCT